AGGTAAATTTATTTACTAGAATTAACCAATTAATTAATTAGTATTTATATCAAGTTATATATTGTTGGAAACAGTATCATGTTAGGTTTAATTTGATATAAAGTTCAATGATATTCGATCAGTAATAAAGGTAATGACACGGATTAAATAAACCCATGTCAAAATCTATAGTTTTGCAAGATATGTATTAATTAATTAAGTAATTAATAAACTATTTATATTGCATGTAAGCATTGTATTATTAATTAATTAATTAAATTTACCTATTAAAATTAAATATATCTGTGTAAGCTACACTATCTAGTTATAAATTCAAATAGATTACTATTAAAAAATTAATAAACACAATTTATAAATCATATTTCATAACAAAATTACAATTCTGTATAACAAAACAATTGGTTTATTAATAAAAATACAAAATCAGTACAAAATCAATGTAAAAATAATACTAAAAACAAACACAATATCAATACCTAAACCTAATAATCATCAAAACAATCATCACTTATAACAACTTCTCCATCACTGGCCACATATACCGGTGCCAAACAGCGTAGCCCTCAGCCGACAAATGCAAGCCATCGGTGAACAGTTCGCCCCTTTGCTGGCCATCGCTATCAGTCATATGTGGGATCAGATCCAAGAAGTGGACATCTTTACCATCAGCGAAGGGGGCGATACAAGCGTTCACACGACGGGCTTTAGCGGTAAACTGGGGGTCACTTAACGGCATGAGTCCGACAGATATAATCTTCGCGTCCGGCAGTTTGGCCCGTATTTCGCCGATCAATTGGCCGACACCGCGACCGATGTCTTCGTCGGTCGGCCGACCGAATGGCTCCATATTGTTAGCGCCTAAAGTGTACGCAAAAAACAAAAATTATTGATTAAAGTTTAATTATTAAAGTTATTGATTAAAATTTAATTAAATTACAAACTAAAACACAACTAAATTATTAGCGACTCAATAAACTCAATAACTAACAACAATTAGTAACTTAATTAAAAGTCAACTAACTATTATAAAACTGGATTATAATTAAATTAACATTAAATAACTATCAAACTTAAAACATAACTAAACTCTTATCCATCAATAAGTCTAAAAATTGGCAAAAATTTAAACTATAATTAAAATACAACAAAAGTACTATAAAACTCGATTACAAACTGAATTAAAAAGTTAACTAAAAAACATTACAATTAAATTAACGCTAATTAAAAGCCAACAAAACTTAAAACAAGAGATCAAAAAACAGTGCAAAACTAGTAACCAATCAAATTACCGCATTGGAGGACAACCACCCGCGGCTGGAGACCATCCAACACCCGGTGCCGGACTCTCCACAAGACATTTTGAATGGTGTCGCCGCAGATGCCGTAATTGACGGCACCGTTGCGGTGATAGTACTGATCCCATACACGACAGCCCTCTTCGCACCAGTACTGCACGATTGAGGCGCCGATAAACACCACTCGGATGTCCGCCCGTCGGGCCTCCGATCGCCGGACAAACGACTCGTGAAGGTTACGCCACAGTCGACCGGCCATAGCGTTGCACTCGGGCTCCCATACCATGGCCTGGGAGTTGTCATCACCGGCTGAATACCCCGTTGTGTTCATTATTAACGTGTATAGTATGTATGCAAATGTAAAAAAAATTAATTAGTAATCTTGCTGCTATACTTAATAAATATTATATTCATCAATTAATTATGTTAATCATTTAATTAACATGGTTATTGATTTAAACTAGGTGATGCAAAACATGGTGTAAAAACTAACCTGTTGATTGCGACATGCTGTTTTTGATGAGTGGCCCAATTTGACTCGGCTGATATCTGTGCAAATTCAATCTAGATAGTACATTAAACGATTTAATCATTAAATTATAATTACATTTATAATTTAAATTCAAAGTAAAACTAAACTAAAGTTAACAATAGTTTGTATTGTTTTGTGTGAAACAAATCATATGTTTTTCAATTAGCGAACGTATTGTGTGTGAAGTGTTCACTCAAATGGCTTTCAATGTGTGATCGTTTGAGTGGTTTGACAACAAATATTGTCTCTATATTTCTCTACCCATACATTACTATACCATATAATGCCATCTCTGGTGGTCTTGAAATCAAAATATGCCAGACATTGCCTGATATCTGATCTTGATCATTATTTAAACATTTATAAGTGTTATAATTAAATCACCATCATTAATCTAAGTTTATATCAGGCCTAATTAGTTTAGTTTACATTGAGTTTTGCACTAAATTTATGCTATAATTAAGATATTTGCAATAAAAATTTTATTTTTTATAATTTATAAGTTATAAAATCTATATTTAATTTTTATTATTATTAAACCATTAAAATAATTAAAATTTTTAATTAAATCTTAAGATAATGTTTTGATTTCATTACCAAATGCAATAAAAATTAGAGGAAAACATGTGAATAATAACATAAATTTTAATAAATGTACTTATGCTAAATGATAAGTTAATTGTAATTGTTTAATCATTGATAGTAAATCACCAAGTAAATATATTTCCCAATTAATTTGTTTTTCCCATCAAAATTGGCGTAAAAATTATTTATTCAATGTTTCACTTAAACACTGGCATTGAATAAACAATACTTATGCTAAAAATTAACACAAACTTAACCATTAATTGACATAAATCTTGGAAGTTTTATTTACTATTAAACATTTACACAGATATTAATGCTAATCAATTGCATCAAGATAAATTCTTATCAATTGCAAATACTATGGTCAAATAATCACAAATATCCAGACACTATATAAGTTAACAAAAAAATTAATAAAACTATTTTTGAAAAACAAATACTTGTCATTAAAATGAATACACATTTAATTGGGTTAATAACGATCACAATTGGCTGCGTTTACAGCGCACCGAACGGCTGTGGCGGCAGCTTTGACGGCGCCGACACCTGTATGCAAACCCTATTACTCGTCGGTAACCCTCACTTCAAGTTTCCGTTAAATCGTCCCGAAATGGCCACTCATTGCGGGTAATTATAAACAAACTCATAGAATATTCTGCAAAAAATAACGGAATATTCTATAAAACTTAATATATTACACATAAACTATTATGTGTTATCAAACTTACCTTGCTTATTATGCAAACCCAAACTAACCATGCTTATTTACCCTTTGTCACAGTACAATAGTGGGCGCCGAGCGGTGTGTCAAAGAGTATTCAATGAAATGTTTGGACACTTTCTCGCGACAAGTGACCAGTGTTTTAGTGAACGGCGCCGTTAAGACACACCGCGGCTACTGTTCAACAATGACAGGTCAGGAGTCGTTTGTTGCGGTCGGTGAGTGTCTCAACGTTAGAAAACAGGCGTTGGATCAGCTCATGTATGACTTTATTGACACCAATGTGGCCATCAATACGGCTCCGCAGAACTCAATGAAAATACCACTTATGTGTTGGTAAGTGAAAGAGCGAGAGAGAGAG